GAGAGAGAGAGAGAGAGAGAGAGAGAGAGAGAGAGAGAGAGAGAGAGAGAGATTTCCTTCTGTGATGACTTAAACTTTTAAACATTATATGTTGGATTGTGGTGCTCCCTTCCCATGCTCTCGATAAAATGTACAGAGTGGTGACATAGAAACCTAAACTATAACCATTAATCAAAGATGAATAAATAGCTTTTTAAAAAGAGAAGGCAACACAGTCTTCTATTTTGTCACACCCCTTTGCAGGAGTTAGAGGTAAATATGTGCTATGGTTTGTGTCTAGTTGACCCACACAGCTTCATGCAGTCATGGGGTAGATTTCTAGTTTGTGATTAACTCAGGATCCACTGGGATTATGGGTGTAGATGCTAAATCCAGCCTGGGGCACATAGCCTAAGTGCATAATGAAGGAGACAGACTCTGTAGTCATCATTGCCACTGTTTCTGCCCTCTTGCTCTCTGTTCTTTGCTGCTGCCATGAAAGGTTGCTCTCTGCCATGTGCCGCTCTGCCTTGGAGCCAGCTGAGTATGGGCTGAAACCTCCAAGTAACTGTGAGCTAAATGAACATTTCCTTCCCTAATTTTTGGGTGTTGGCTATTTGTCCCAGCAATGAGAGAAGAGTAACTAACTGAGACAGAATGCCACTGAAAGCTAATACAGGGGCCATGGAGATAGCTCAGTAGAATAGGTGCTTGCCTGGCAAGTGCAAGATCCTGAGTTCAATCCCCGGTACCACAAAAAAAAAAAAAGCTAATACAGAGGTCCCTGATATAGATGGTGGGTATTTAACAATGTCTGAGCTCCATGAAGACTTGGTGTTTTTAAAAATATGGAGGGGCCAGGGAGATGGCTCAGTGGAATAAGCGCTTCTCTGGCAAGCGTAAGGACCTGAGTTCAATCCCCGGTTCCGCAAAAAAAATAAATAAATAAATAAAAATATGGAACCCAGCTCTGTAGCGCAATGGATAGCGCACTGGACTTCTAAAAATATGGAACCCATAAAAATACACTTTTGTCATCACTAATTGTGACATGTCAACATGTAGTAGGAACTGCCTCATGGATTAGCAAAGCTCTGGGTGTCTGTGGACAGTGGGCATGTAGGCTGCAGACTCAGGAGGTGGATGTGGTTCACACCAACCAATAGACTTATAGCCTAGATTGAATAAAAGGGAAAGAAGCTGGAAGTTGTCATCATTGTCTCTGGACCTTGAACTCCAGTTCTTTCACATTTCAGCACAGACCTGTCCAACACAGACTTTCACCTGACTCTACATGGAGCTTTAATTTTTGACTGGATCCACAGTCTCTCCAGTCCACAGATGTTCATTTGTGTTCTGCTCATGATTCTGAAAGCCATGTAGGAAGTCATTTTATAATCATCTGTTCCTTTTTCGAACCTTGATACAATGTTAAAATCTCTACATAAATTCTTCTCCTCTGCTCTTAAATTATCTCCAAGAAATCCCATTTTCTTTCTTGTTCTAAACTAGTAATGATCAGGCAGGGGAGATAGCTCAGTAGAATTAGCACTTGCCTGGCAAGCACAAGGTCCTGCGTTCAATCTCCAGTACTGCCCAAAAAAGAAAAAAGAAAAAAGAAAAAGAAAAAAGGAAAACTGGTAATGATGTCTTTCTAATTTTTTTTTTTTTTTTCTTGGTAGTGGGAATTAAACTCAGGACCTTGCACTGGGCCAGGGAAGTGCTGTGCTGCTCTGCTATGTCCTTGGCAATCTTTCTAATTATTGAGCACATTTTATGTATCAAGCATTGAACTATCCATTTTTTGAGTGTTTGTTCATGTGATCAAGACAGCAATTTATGTGAACTAGGTGCTATTGTTTTCTCCCATTTTACAAGTGAGAAAACTGAAGTTTCAAAGTACAAGGTAATTAAGAAAAAAAAAAGTAACAGGTAATTGATCCTTTGGCTCATAAGCATGATGATTGGGTGTTCATGCTTTATGCATGAGATGTGCCTCCCTCAAACCTTGTTACGACATGGGCACATTACCTGTCTGACATAAAAAAACAAAAAACAAAAAACAAGTAATAGGTAATTAGTCCAAGATGCCACAGCCAGGGAGAAGTAAAGCTGGTGTTTGAGAGCAAACAGTCTGATTCCAGAGCCTGTAGACCGTGTTATTGCCTGAGATATAGGTAGGTAGGTAGGTAG